TTTAATAAACACACTGTAAAGTGTTTAGACCCAAAAAAGTGTTGTGACAATTAAGGATTTATACACATGTTAACACATGTGGTGGTGTCTCCTGCAGCAAAGACAGTATGATGCTGTGTGTCACAGCATCTTTGGTAATGTACCTGCTACTAACAGATACTATTTGACCCAGGGCTGTTGTATATACATGCAGTCCTGATACTTTGACATATACTAATAACTTACTTTGTTTAGAGGATGAGAAGTCTCTGGTGATGAGTATGTCTGTGTTTGTAATTGAGTGTGTGTGTGATGTGAATGGAAAGTCTTTACTGACGCCATGACTTACGGCTCAGCACACACACACAGGCCACGTTGATGCGTATGAGCCTCCAGGCCACCAGGTTCTTAAACGAGGTCAACGCTCGGACAAAAGTGTGTGAGTTGGTGCAGTAGGAGTTCCAGTGTTTGGCATCGATCCCCAAACAACCGGAGCTGCCGGAGCGCTCGCTGTGGCACGTCGTCTCAAAGAAGTACTGCTTCTTGTTCACATTGTTGATGTTCACGTCCGGCAGCACCGTCACCTCGTTGCCTGAGATGTCTGTGGCTTTGGTCTTGTTGCCCACCCAGTTGCTGATGCTATCGCACACTGAGTAGACTCCTCGGTGCTGAGGCTGCCCCGCTCTCCTGGGGGTCCTCCTGCCGCCCCCCTGGGACCCCGCCGGATCTGCATCAGGCGGCTGGTCGCTGAAGAGCACCCTGGGTGAGAGGTAGCGGCGCTTGGTGAAGAGCTTGGGGTCCACTGTGGGGATGGTGTTGGAGTTGTTGCCTGGACCCTGCTGCTGTGCTGCTCCTAAGATGGCGGCCACAGCCTGGGCGCTGAAGAGGAGGAACAGGACCAGCATGGACGACCTCATGAGAACACCACCTGTCAACAAGCACAGAGAACACTGTTACTGCAGATGTATAGGTACTGGTGTGTTGTGTTACTTCAACATTCATCAAAGTCAAAGTCAATCTTTCAGTTTGTGTGTACAGACTGAGAATACAAAATATATATATATATATATATATATATATATATATATATTTTTTTTGTATTCTCAGTCTGTATATATATATACACACACAATCAATCAACAAACACATTTATACATATGCACACATTTAAGACATAAATAAAAGCACAACAATCAATATATACAAAATAACAGTCACTTCAATATCTTTGAGAAATGTACATTAGTGCAAGACTGTCCATAGCAGCGTAAAAAGTGTCTAGTGCCGGATTTGTGTGTGTGGGGTGTTAAAGTCCATGGATTGATAACTGAACAGGCACAGAAGACCTTCACCTTTAAAATGTCCCTCAAAGAGGCACACACCAACAATGACCACATAGAGACCACGGAGAGTCACAAAACAACTACTAAGAGTCAAAAACAAGTTAAAAGAGACACACATTTACTGATAATAGCGTCAACAGGAGTACAGAATGACTCAAAAGCAACTACCAAAAGAATCTCAACAACTATAATGTGTGCCTTGCTTATATGAGAGGTGGTGGGGCGTCTTGCATGTCTGTGCCCAGGGTCCCAATGTCTGAAAGTCCGCCCATGCAACAGTGATCTGACAAAATACTCTGTTTCTGAGAAATTAATTTCCTTCTAAGGCTAACTTCTTGTTACTGGTTTATGTTTTTGACAAGTAGCTGTCTTGTATTTAGGCCAGGTGCAGAGCCGAGGATTTGAACGCTGGATTAAAGCTCCAAAGACTTGTGAGGCAGAGATGTCTGATGTGTGGATACTCCCCATTTTTCCTTCACAGTGTCAAGGCACAACATGTTGAGCAGTGAGATTGACCTAATAGGAGCAGCTCCTCTTTAAAGTGGAAAACACACCTTGCCTAATACTGGGTTTGACACTTATCGTCTCAGAGCAACAGTTTTAACATCGTTTTTGCATGAGATTCACAAGAATTTCTCATCCTCAGGGGATAATCTCATGTTACAGCGGCAGTACACCAAGGTTGAATGTTCCATTTCTAGTGTAATGCTGAATAGTGAAAAGATCCATCTAATAACATCCACAGAGATCACATTGAACTCTGGTTATGTAGAAATATGGAGGGTGAAGGACATCTGCAACACTTTACAGTATGGTGCTTTTGTGCAGCAGCAGGTTAATGCATCACATCACACACACTAAAGGGTTTTCTCTTTTTCACAGGAGATATGAAAAATGCAATTTCTTTTAAATCTATGGTTTATTGTATGGATATTTTTTCTTGTGTTCTGTATTCGGCATAATATCCATGATTTTATGGATGAGTTTGATGCTTTCATATACCTTTTTTCACAATTTGCTCTCATAGACATCTGAACAGAGAGAGTTTAATGTCATCTTTAAGACTTAGCTATTATCTCTGGGCAAGCAGGGAGAATATAGTGCAATTCTCCGGAACGGTACGGAATTTCCTTTTTAAGAACATGAACTGGATCTTGTCTATGTAAGTTACCCATGGAAATAGGTGTCGCATTACCCACAGGAATCTGAGACAATGTTGTGACATCCCATCAGTTTCTGTTTCCATCACTGCGGCTCCTCACCACAACATCTGTCTGCTCTGGCCCGTCTAAATCCACAGGCTGCGTGCTGCGTCGAACACAATGCAGCAGGCGTGTTAACACCTGCGATGCCTCAGCAGCAGGCTCGGTCAGGAAGCTTTAATATACGCTCCGTTTGCCTCCGGTGTCAGAGTGAGTGCTTGTGGATTAAAATGTTGGCACAACACATCAAAAGAAGAATCATAGTGCACCATGTGAGAGATGATTACACCAATAAATTGGGCAACATTTGGACAGGCAATAAATCCTTCGAGTGCATTGATGTTAGGATGATTAGTATAAAGATGTAAACAGACAACTTGTGCAGGGGAAACTGTTTACTTTTTCTTTTGACACGATGTACCAATTTTGATTTTTTTTAAAGCAGGGAACATTCATCTCTTGGAAAAAGAGCTAAAGGCTGATGAAAAGGAAAAAAATACTTAACGTGAGCACAGCATCTCGCTAGTCTCTTTTGGTTTTTTTGTTCATAGACTATTTCTTATATTTAACTACACAGAGTTACATAGTTAATTTGAGTATTATAAACAATTCAAGCTTAATTTGCTACCAACATCTTTGCATTAATACTCAATACATAGATTAAAATGTGTCTGTTTTATCATGGAGGCCAACTGGAGATTTGAGTAAGCAAAAATGACTCTTTTTGTCAATGGAGCCAATTTTAAAAGCACATGGATTGCACATGATTGTGGTCATGGCTTCAGCCTCAGATAAACCACTCTTTACCTGCCATACCACTAATTATTAGTATTAGTTACACCTGTGCCATCAACTACTGTATACCATCTTCCCCTGGTGTCCCTCTTTGTTTATACCACTATCTTTAACAGAGGAATACCCAGTGAAGATGATATAGTTGAACGCCCATATACTGTATATTAACCTGCTTAAAGTTGAGATGTTCTACATAAGATGGAGATATAAGTCAAATAAAACCATACATCTTCACATCAGTCACTTTGAGAGAGCTATGGAGGTCTCTAAACTTGTTTTTCTTATTTTTACTCCGTTTCCTGCTTGTTTTAATTGCTGCCAACTTCCTATTATTTTATCCCTAACTTTATGTTTTATTAATGTATCGTTTTTAATTGCTTCCCTGTAGAATAAAAAAATATCACACAACCAGTTTGATAAAAGGGTTAAACGTTCATAAGGATGTGTAAAATGATGATCTTTTAAAGAATGAAACATGAGATTAATATCTACTGCATTTACTAAGAACCAGTCTCAGGCAAAGTACATTTTTTGACACACTTAGGTCAAATGAAGAGACTACGCAGTTCGCTGGATGTTGTGTTTGTGACACAAGCTGTTGCATCAACTGATATGGGGTTTCTTTTGTGCTTTATTGTGTTGCAGAGTACTATCCTGTACCTTCTCAGTGTCTCCACGTGAACTGTAGCACCTCGGCGGTCTCTAGAGGACGTGATCAGGGCTCGCTGTGTTCTGGGCTCCTGCATCAGGCCCGGCTGTGGCCCCCATCCAGCTCCACACCGCTCCGCACCCTGCTGAGAGACAAGCAGGGAAAGTGTCTCGCCCGGCTCATAAACCCACTGTAAACACATACTTTGTGAGGACCATACTGGAAACAAAGTTAATATGTTATTCCCGCTCACCAGATCCTCACATACTGAACATACCGAAATAAAAAAGACCTGCATAATGTAAAAAGTGGGAACATGCAACGGTGGAATGTAACAAAGTACATTTACTCAAGTACTATTTTGACATACTTGTACTTTACTTACGTTTTTCCATTTTATGCTACAATTTGGAAGCAAATACCTATTTTGTTTTACTCCACTAAATTATTTTATGTACATACAATACATTTGTATGTTATAAAAAAATGTGTACAGTACTTTAACACTAATTTACCCAATGTTTAAAAATCATTTGGATAATGTGAAAAGAGCCATTCTGCATATTGACTTTATACTTTTAGATACATTTTGCTAATAATACTCTTTACTTTTACTTCTGTAACATTTTCAATTCAGAATGTTTACTTGTAATGTAATATTACTTTTACTGAAGCAAGTACTTTATTTAGGGTATTTTATATTACTGCTGTAAATTCTATCAGCAATCTCTAACCCATCCGTTTTTGAAAGCTTTGTTTAAACACGAGATGTATTGAGACATATTTAATGAGCAAATATTATTTAGGAAAAAAGAAGAATCCAGATCATTGAGGAATTTTGTGTATGAAGCCTCATATACAAACCAGCTGTCAACACGGCATAACATTTTTAAAATATTGATATTGCTGTTAGTCTGTTTTCCATCAAGCATGATTTCCTACATCCAGAGTGCTTTGATGAAGATGTTTGCAGGGACGAAACACAGACACCGTTCACCAAAGATAATCCATCACTGAAAACCAGAAGCCTTAATTGTGTTTTGTCATTTCGTTTTTATCTTTGTGTCACCGAGCCTAATTGTGCTTGAGTTAAGTGTCAGCAGGCTGAGTGTGTTATGTTCAAACGTACTTAGTGTCAATCACCTGACACAAACAGAAACAAAAGCCAGGAAAACATACTTGTATATTCTTTAAATTGAGGACAGCTTTGCAAGTAGCTACCTTTAAGCATGGCTGAAGAAGTTAGAAAAACAGTTCGCTTGCAAAATGACAGGAATGTAAGCTATTCCTAAACAGCAGTAAAAGGCCTGTAAATATTGAAGTTTACTCCTCTAAAGAATGTATGCCAGCACAGGAAGTGTTCTCGCTTTACAGCACCACGACAACGGTGCTCTCTGGCTGTCATGGCGTTTTTATCTGTGACTTTTCAGTCCACGACGGGCTGTTTAACAAATGAGACACATTGTTCCTATGACTCTGAGTCTGTCTACTCTCTCAAAATGTGTAACTAATTGTCCCTCATAGTGCAAATCAATTAACTGCTGGACTACCCAACTGCTGTAGGTGTTAAATCTGACCTTCACAAGAAGCCTGCTCCCAGGTTCATTATCCACCACTAACCCTAATAAAGTATGTTTAAATGCACAAGACAGACATGGTGATTAAAACTGAAAAAAACAAAAAACAGAATCCAACAGTTTCATGTAAAAAAATAAGTATGTTACTCCAGAGGTTTTCAGTAGTCATGGAGATGCATTGATGCACTGACATGTGAGGTCAGAGGCACTTTAAGGTTGTCTATAACTGAGGTCTTAACAGTGATCTGGGCTGGATCACAGTCTCCTGGCTGAGGCTGCAGCGCCTCACAGTCCACAATGAAAGGAGAAAGTTAAAGATGTTTACTACATGGAAAAACATAACCACAAGATTAAAATTAACAACAGACGTATTCCTGACTAAATGGAACCCAAATATTACATGTTTTTTCAATTGAAATGATCCAAAAAAAATTCTGTAGACTTCTCTCTCATTTTAATAGGATATTGTTCTTTGTTTGCTTGTCTCATGTTTGTGGACGACCGTTGCCCTTCACAAATGTTCCTCTCCCATTTTCTTTTCTTTTTTAATTAGATTACTAGCCTCTCTTCAAAACACTCTTTTTGGAGTTGCCTCTTGGCATGAGCTGAAAAAGAATCTCTAAACTCTAAGACGTAAGTGTCAGTAAGTGTTGCTTAGAATTTAATTAAAAGAAAATTAGAAAAATAAAAAGTTTGATTGCTTCCCATGTGAATTGATTGAAGAACTAAGGTTTGTAGAGTGCAAGAGAATTTTTTTCGGGGCAATCATGGTAAAGGTAAATCATGACCTACGAACGCATTGAATGTATGCCCCATAATACAGACCCCTAAATAATATCTATATTTATTTAGTTGATTAAAAGTTCAGTGAATTAGAATACTTAACATGCAAAGTAATGCTACAAGCTGAGCCATCAAACTATTTGAGGTTTAATATGAAATGCCAGAGAATTCCTCTTAAATTAACTGTATTACAGCAGCAGAGAAAAACTATCTCTTGTCATGTATAATGTGTCATTTGTGCAAAGAGTATAATGAGTTTTCTGAAAATTACAAGATGTGAATAAATGCCTCATGTTATTTAAAATCTGCAACAATATTATTTTAAGTATCATGCAAAAGAGCAATCATGTTAACAGAAAACAAATGTCCCAGTAATTTGAGGCTCAGATTTTGGCCGTCGACACACAGCTGTTGCTCTGTGGTTAAGGAACATGCAGTCAGCAGTCTGGTCTTGCCGTGAAGGAGAATAGCAACATTCATTCAAGCTACTAGGTGGGCTACAAATATGCACATAACGCTGCCGTACAACATTAGTGTGCACTGGGGCATCTCACATCGCATTACTCATTGAGCCTTGAGCCTTGAAGCAGATGGGCTGCAGCAGAACCACCTGATGACTGCACACAGGAAAAATGTTGCTCTCTCAGATAACGGTGATGCTACAGTGAAGGATGTTGCACACCTTACAGTACAACAGGATAATACCATATTGTTAGATCAAGTCTGGAATTGTTATTGCATCACACAAGATCCATTTGCAACAGCCACAAGGACAAATATTAAGGAAAGGAAACAGACATTTACATAAATTACATTGACTGAAGACAATATTTTTAAGATCCTTTAATGCACATTTAACTGACCTGGGATTAACTCAGTATTTAAAATTAGGATTGACTGGTTCACAAGAGAGTGTTTGAGTCTAACTTTATACATTTGTTGCTACCTATCTCAGATTAGATGGTTACAATTAATATTCACTGTTCAGGACATGGTCAGGGTCAGAGACGATGTTATTGGCCAGCCTCAATATGTTATTATGGTAAGCTGATTCAAAGAGTTCCTCAAAAGTTTGACCTTCAATATTTGAGCTGATTTTCAATCGGTGGAGCCTGATTGGCCGCTCTGTGTAAAGTTTGTTTAGGTTTGACTTTCGCTTCCTGAAAACGCCTGTCATTCAGCCCTAACCCGATGAAACAGCTTTTGGATGATTTTGGACAGGGTTTTTGCTGCACAATGTGCCAATGATAACATTGTGGGAAATGTGCTAAAACAACAATGAAAGGTTTCCTTATGGAATATTAATAAAACCTCATTAAAACCCGCAGGACTGTTCTGCAGTTGTGCTCTCAACTTTTAATTGGGAAAAAAGTTGAGTAATACTGCAAAAAGCTGTGTTTTCTATTGGCTGCTACAAGTGCTTCACACTGCTGCAAAACACATTACACCCAAGACCTAATTCCATTCGTCAAGTGTGGTCTATCTGTTTTATTATTCATGCTCATATCCTCCCTCTATTTGTGACTGTCATAATTGTTTATTTATTGTGTAGGCTATAATGGACCTTTTTATTTATTTAACATTTTAAAGAATGCACATAATATAAATTATATTTATGGTTTTTAGGTCAACATGTATGATGTGTGGCATCAATTTAGTTTTATTTATTTATAAAATATGATAAATTATATGTTTTGGATAAATATGAATGCTGCATGAATGTGCATGGTGCATTTTACTGCGGATATTCAAGGTTGTGCAGGATGAGGAGTTACATTTCCAGAGTAATGCATCATCAAATGTGGCTCTCTTGTTAGAACCATGTTTCTCTAAAAAGTCAACTATGTTTGTCATCTTATCCTGGAGGTTTCTTTTTAAGAAAATGTCTGTCTAGTTCAATTATAAGAATATTTTTCTCAAGTTATAAAGGAAAACTTCATCCTTTAATTAGTCAAAGACATTCACATTCAAAATGAACGGGCTGGAAATATGTGACGTTCACTGCACAGAAAGGTTATGCAAATTGTATATTGAAAAGTAACTAAAGCTGTCAAACAAATATAGGCCTAGTGGAGTCGAAAGAAATTGTTAAAAATATTGCCACTGAGATGTAGTATATAAGAAATACAGGGTTGCATGAAGTATTTCCACTTCAGTTAAGTACAAGTCCCATACATTTGTACTTAGCCAGTTATTTTCTGAGGGGGGCACAATAAATGCAGGCCGAAAAAGACAAAAACAGTATGAAGTAATTGCGCATAAGAAAACAATGCAATACAGTTATTGGTATTTGTTTCAGTACACATATTTATTTCAGATACTTATAGTTACAGTTCTTACGCTCTAATGGGTCCGACTAGAATGACAAATAGCGTTAGTTCCGCCTATTCCGTCAGCCAAGAAATCGTTTCATCATAAACCTTTTTTTTTTTCTTTTTTTCTTTTTCATTTTCAGGGCCACAGGGGGGTCCAAAGTCAGTGTTAGGGGGGCACTGCCCCCCCCCCCTAGAACCGCCCCTGCTTAAACTTGACTTCAGGTATGGGAAACAAACATTTTGGACCTCATCTCCACTGCCGAGGATCATCGCTTCTTCTTCAAGCTAAGTAACCTGCTGTGACATCTTCCATAATATTCTTCACATAATTTATCATATTTTGCAGCGTAGTTTAGTGCCTTAACTCTGCTGTTATGCATCTGGTCAATGTACCCTTTTAAACAGCACACATTTGAACCATTTTTCTTTTTAAAACACAGGTGCAAATAATTACATTAATGATGCTCTGTTG